TTTAAAGCAGAGGCCCTAAAGAATAAATTGGTGGGTGTTGCAAGTTTTTATATCACATGGTTTTGTGCAGCAGTTTTTCAAACGCTATTTTTTTTTGGGAAAAAATACACTTCTTTGAATTGTAGTGCAAAAACAGGCAGTCAGAGAAAAAGGGTGTGATGGAAAAGTTCTGTTGTTAACACAGAGATAGCAGTAAAATTACATTTTTAGCAGAGTGCAAAATATTAGAACCTCTGTGAGTAACTTGACGACCGGCGACGTACCCGTATTTTGCTGGTCTTCAAGTGGTTTTACTGGGATGATGCTTGCAGCTGCAGGCATCATCCTGGTACTGTTTTTTTAGAGCCGATGGTCGACTCTCTTGTAATAGCGATTGGAGCAGCTAACTAGCACTTCCGCTGGCTGATCATAGAGCCAAACAAAGAGCGGAACCACTCTGTTCGGCTCTATAATATAGGGAACCCAGAAACGATGACCTTACATCACTTCTGGTTTACCCAGATATAAATGACACCATTATTAAAAAAGAAAAGCATTTCATCACATCAATCTTGGTGTGATTAAATGCTATTAAGGGCAGAGGAGGGAATTGGGATCTTATTGACCCCAGATCTCCAGAAAGAGAACCTGTCACATGCCTATTGCTGTCATAGGGGATGTTTACATTCCTTGTGACAACAAAAAAAGTGGTCAAAAAGCAAAATGTAAAGCAATAGTGTAAAAACAAATGTTGAAAGTGCCCTCCCCACCGCGCTCACACGCAAATGCAAGCAAGCAGCGATCAACTCACACATGTGAGGTATCACCAAAAATGTCAAGTCTTAGGCAGTAATTCTAGCTTCAGACCTCCTATGTAAATAGGAGAGCAGGAAAACGAGTGGTGGCCTGTATGGGGCAAAACTCCAGAGACCAACATGACACACGGGCTGGATGGAGCACAGTGTCCAGGGGTGGAAGACATCCAAAAAAACTGGAGAAAGAGCATTAATCTGTGCAAAAGCAGAGGGGAAACAAGGTGCAGCTGAAGGGGGCTCCAGAGGCAAAGGCATTCACTGCACCTACATGCAAGACAGGTAAACAATGCAAGGACCAAATCAACAAGACATGACAATGGACAATTTCATAACATTGTCTTAGAACATAGATCTGTACATATCCAAGATATGTTTCTATTTGGTTACATCAACTTAGTTTATCAAATTGCACTTTCTAAGGTCATAACTGACCTTTCTGTCTGCCAGTCTCAAACAGTACCCCCTTGTTATACAGTTCAATACACCCTGGAAAATGTTTCATTTTTCACATTTAAAAAAATGTTTACAAACTGTGCTCTTCTTGAACTTTTTTTTCCTTTTAGGCGATGCAAGCTACAGATGCGGCTTGAAACCACACCTGCCTTTGGAAAGCAAACCTGCCACATACTAGGAAGAGATGAATCTTTCAGGCCGACACCTTAGGTATCACACTCCAGAGAGTCTGCATTGACAACTGGCTCAGCACTCTTAGGTTTAGTACTTCTGGACTCCTGCGGTATGACCCAGATGAACCATTCATTATTCAGCTATGTAACTATCATTCAAATTTGTGGATAAATGTAATTCGTGATTCAGCTTTGCAAGACCTTGCACAATGGTGAACAGTCCTCTGATGCTGTCCAGTTTTTCCTGTATGAAGCATCCAGCAAAGTCTTGATGAGCACTGACACCTGCATCTCCCCCTGTCTCTTGCTGCAAGGCTATAATGACACGTCCTAATACAATTCAGTCATCTGGATGGCCTGTGTGACATTTACAAACAGGAATATAAGTAATTGTATCTAGCATAACCCAGGTCATTTTAGCAACCTGAAACAAATAAACATATGTTAAAAGGATACCCACAAAGTATACAAGCATTTTTAGTAGGTACTCTCCAATTGATGCAATAAGGTGCAACCCAGGATATCCATTACTCAACTTTTCCATTGCAGTACAGACACATCATACGGTTCACTCTAAGTTATTAGTTTTTTTATCTGGCCAAAAGACAGACAAGCATGTTGGGACAGGCTCAGAAGTTAGAACAGCTTGTGGCTGAGCTGCTGTATGAAAATATTCAGGGACAACAGAAGCAAGGGCTACGGGGTATTAAAGAATGAGTCAAGGGTGAAAAATAAAGAATATAGGAATTTAAACAAGCCCCAAAACACAGCACTATGAGACGCTGAAGGTAAGAGCTCCAAACACTAGTCTGATAATAACCTTCTTGCTAGAGACATTGCAGGAGCAGACAGTGCTTGGTCTGTCACAGACTAAGATAATGCATGACAGCACAGGTGATTTATTATTATTATTATACAGTATTTATATAGCGCCACAGGGTATGCTCAGCGTTGTACAGTAGCAAGGGGGACAGAACATGAGACAAGACAGTAACAATACAATACACAAGGGGTTCGAGGGTCCTGCTTTTACGAGCTTACAATATAGGAGGGAGGGGAAGGTGGTACAGGAGGAGATGGCTGTGGGGGATGGAGTGGTGGGAGGAGTGGAGGAGGTTAGTTGTTAGGTGAGGTCGGGTGTTAGGTGAGGTTGGGGTAGGCTTCCCTGAAGAGGAGGGTTTTCAGGGTGCGACTGAAGGTGAGGAGGGTAGGTGACAGTCTGATGGATTGGGGTAGGGAGTTCCAGAGGATGGGGGAAGTCCTGGAGAAGTCCTGCAATCGGGCGTGGGAGGAGGAGACCAGGGAGCTAGAGTGAAGGAGGTCCTGTGAGGAGTGGAGGGCACGGGTAAGGTAGTATTTGGGTATCAGGTCAGTTATGTAGTTCGGGGAGGCATTGTGAATGGCTTTGTAGGTCAGAGTTAGCAGTTTGAATTTGATGCGTTGGGCAATCGGGAGCCAATGAAGGGATTGGCAGAGGGGGGAGGCAGATGTGGAGCGGTTGGTGAGGTGGATGAGTCTAGCTGCTCAGTTTAGGATCGACTGGAGTGGGGATAGCGTTTGTTTTAGTAGGCCAGTGAGAAGGGAGTTGCAGTAGTCCATACGTGAGATGATGAGGGAGTGTACAAGTTGTTTGGTGGTGTCTGGGGTGAGGAATGTGCGTATCTTGGAGATGTTGCAGAGGATGGGGGAAGTCCTGAAGAAGTGGGAGAGATGGTGGCATTGTTAGTAGCGATGGAGAGGATGGGGGGGGGGCACGGGGTGGGGGGAAGACCAGAAGCTTGGTTTTGGATAGGTTAAGTTTGAGGAAATGGAGCGACATCCAGTCTGATATGTCGTTTAGGAGGTGGGTGATGCGGGCAGAGAGTGAGGGGGTAAGGTGGGGGGTGGAGAGAGGTAAATTTGGGTGTTGTCGGCATAGAGGTGGTAATTTAAGCCGTGGGAGTGAATAAGTTTGCCAAGCGAGGAGGTACAGATGGAGAAGAGGAGGGACCCGAGGACAGAGCCTTGGGGGACCCCGACAGAGGGGGGAGAGAGAGGGGGAGGGGGAGGGAGGGGGAGGTGGCAGTGTTGTAGGTGACGCTGAAGGAGCGTTGGGAAAGGTAGGAGGAGAACCAGGAGTGAGCAGCGTCCTTGATGGGAGTGCAGTTTGGCAAGGAGGAGAGGGTGGTCAACAGTGTTGAAGGCCGCAGAGAGGTCGAGGAGCAGGAGGATAGAATAGTGGCCATTAGCTTTGGCGGTGATAATATGATGTGACCATTGCAGGGAGGTAAATCTAACTACAACTCTTCCAAATGTCATCTTCTGACTCCTGAGTTGAAAAGTTCATGAATTCAGACAGAGCTAAAGGGTACCATGATGTGTATATGATCTCAGCATCCGACAAAGTACCCTACCCCCTATTGGTATCACCCTGTGTGCTCTTACATCTTTGTCCATATGCCATGCAGTCTAGCAGTCGGGGATTTTTAGTTATTCAGTAGCTGAAAGCTACATGTATAAAATCTCTGATAGTGTGATTGATATTTAGAAAGCCTGTTGTTCACAATGGCACTTGTGCCAACTTAAATATGCTAGTTAATTTATCTTCTTTCTATTGGTATTTTGCCTATTTCACCTTATCACCTAACCGCTGCAAACTACACTCCTTTGAATGACTCCTGCATTTTCACAGCATGGTATTATAAAACCTGCCAATTGGGTTGTAAATATGCAGCAAGTGTTTGGGGTCATGAAAGAGTTAAATCTTGGTATTAATTCCCCTGCGGTATAAGAGACACGTGGAAACAATTCCGCTTACAAAGCTGGAAGTAAGCATTACCTGTAGCATCTGCCTGCCAAAATAAAAAAAAAACTTGATAGCAAAGAATTTCAGTCTGGAATTAGCAACACTATTTTGCTAATCAAATGATCGTCTCATAGCATATGGATGTTAGGATGGTTACAAAGATAGATAGATATATATATATATATATACATATACATTCAGTAATTAGATCTAAATATGTTAAAAACATGAGAAGTGGTGTTTTAAGAAATGTAAAATGGCCCACATACTGGAGGAGATTTATCAAACAAGGTGTACAGAGAGAAGATGCAGAAAATAATTTACTGAGACAGTTTTAGCCCTGGTTCACATATATGCCACGCTTTGCGCGGGCACGAGAGCCCATTCATTTGAATGGACTCCCGTGACACACAGGGAAGAAGTCCCTGCACTTCTTTGGAAACTGCAGCCCGCATGGGAACCTCGGTTCCCAGTGCGGTTGCGATTTCTAGTGTGGGCGGCGTGCCGTGCGCGTGGTTCGGCTGCACAGAATTTTGTGCGGATCCGCAGCGGCACCACCCGCACATATGTGAACCAAGCCTAACTGTGAGGCTATAGTCTGAATCATTCATTTAATTATTATGTTGATAATGAAATGCAGATTCTGGTCCACTGAATTTAAGTTTGAGCAATACTGTACTAGACCTATTTGTTGCACAGATGACTTCAACCCAAAATCAAGAGTAAAATTAACAAGTGTAATTATATAATGCAGAAGAAAGGAAACCATTAACACTGTCATTAAGTTCTTTTCACCTAAAAGGGAGGTACTGAGGGCTGGACCCACTAAGCAGTGCTCTGTATGCCTCTTCTGGTGTCTTCTTTAAATAGATCACCTACATTCAATATAAAAGAAAAGCATTAGTCATAGGTTCACACAATTAAGAATGAGTAAAAAGATGAATGTGTGCTCATTTTCCTGTTTTGGTGAGATCTTCTAACTAAGGCTGGCCATACATTATACAATTTTCTTGAGATTTTTGGTTTAGATTTACCAAAAACCATATAATAGGAGGTCAAAACTAACAACACTTTCAATTGTATCCAATTAGGCAGGCTCTTGCACTACATAGTTGAAGGTAAATCTAAAGGAAATTGGGCAGACATTGGACAGAAAATCGTATAGTGTATGGCCAACCTTAGTCTGGCCATACATTATACAATTTTCTTGTACAATTTTCCTTTAGATTTACCAAAACCATACAATATGAGGTCAAACCTAAATACTTTCAATTTGAATTAAATCAGGCAGGCCCTTGCACTACATAACTGAAGGTAAATCTAAAAGAAATTGAACAAGAAAATTGTATAATATATGGCCAACTTAACACACTGTGGTTGATTTACTAAAGCTGGAGAGGGCAAACTCTGGTGCAGCTGTGCATTATAGCCAATCAGCTTCTAACTTCAGCTTGTTCAATTAAGCTTTGACAAAAAAAAAACGGAAGATGGTTGGTTTATATACAGAGCTGTACCAGATTTCACTCTCTCCAGTTTTAATAATTCAACCAAATTGTATAGGCAATACTTGTGGAAAAACACACTAAGCCTGGGTTCACACTAATGCAGTGCGGCACATCGTACGTGAATCACACAGGAACTGCACTGCACTCCTATGCAAATCTCATGTGATTTCTGTGCGGTGCAATTTGAGCCATACATTTTGTATGCCTCAGATCGCATTGCATCCGCACCAAAATAATGCAGGACCCTTTTTTTTTGTCCGCACCAGAATCGGATCACATGGGTATTCACACCTATGCGATCCAATTCTGCACATCGCACTGCATTTTACAAACTGATTTCGAGGTGTTGTTAACAGACACCCGCAGCGGTTCATATGAACGGGGTGCGATCAGGTGCGGAAATCGCACAGAAACTGGTGCGAATTCCGCACTGCATCAGTGTGAACCGGGCTAAAAGATTAGTTATCTGTGAGGATCAAAGAGCTTTCACAATACATTGAGAAAAAAAAAACCCTTTATTAATAAATGATTGAAACAGAAACAATTGAGTACTGTCCATGATACTTTTTTTATTTGCACTAACATACAATATTGAGGACAAGCTTTCGGGGAATGTCCCCTTCTTCAAGGTCCAAGCAGTACTATACAAATACACGGACAGTACTCAATTGTTTCTGTCGCAAATGCTCTAATACGGCTACAATCACCTCAAGTAAATTATTGAAAAAAATCCACAACCAGGTCTCATCCTGTAATATAGGAAACCACTACCTTTTTCCTTTTGAAAAAAAAATCAATATGATGTCATTTTTCAGGATGTCCTCATTCCCACCACCTCTAACGCTCATGTATTTATTTATCCCCCCAAGTCTGACCGTTTATTGTAACAAATGTTTCATGTGAATAAGTTGTATTAATATAGTGTATAATTTGATGCTTGTTCTGGTATAACATGAAAACACATCTCACAGCTGCAGTCTAATTACTTTCTTAAATAGTAATGCACCTCCTAACATAAGATCATTATATCATATAAAGTAAGTATATGTTACCAAAAGCTTGAAGATTTCAAATTCAGTTTTTTAAAAACCTTCAGCAATAAATGATTGGATGAATTCTAAATGAGCAACTTCACTGTGTGACAGCTGCACTTTAGTGTTCTAGCCCAATTATTGGGAATGTCAACATGCAAACCTAAAGATCCTCAAAGTTGTAGAGAGCAGAAGGCATAGTAACCAGAAGCTTGCAGACTGCAGATGCCATTTTGTAAGGGAGGTCCACTAATTTCTTAATATATAAACCTGTATAGCCATAAATTTCACTGCATATCAGATTAGCTCATCCCTGTAAAACCGAACACATATTAATTACACAGGTTCTGTGGCTGAATAAGGTAGTAATTAAACTCACCTACTATCTGCATTAAATTAGCCTCAGAACCTGTGTAATTAATATATGTTCGGTTTTAAAGGGATGAGGTGGCAACCCTATATCAGATGCACTTTTTCTTTCTCAATACCTTTTATAGGGACATCAGTGTGCAAGCTTATGTTTATATTTTTCAAGATATTGTGAAAGCTCTGTGATCCTCACAGGTATTCCAGCCCAGGATGATTGGACTACAATCCACAGTTCTTCTCTATTTCTTGGTTTTGCTTTAGAAACAGCATTTTTGATGTCACCCCACAAGTTTTTTATTGGATTAAGATCCGGGGATTGGGCTGGCCACTCCATGACATTAATCTTGTTGGTCTGGAACCAAGATGCTGCTCGCTGACTGGTGTGTTTGTGGTCGTTGTCTTGTTAGAACACCCATTTCAAGGGCATTTCCTCTTCAGCATAAGGCAGCATGACCTCTTCATGTATTCTGATGTACTGTATTTAAACTGATCCACGATCCCTGGGTTTGCGATATATAGGCCCAACATCAAAGTTTGAGAAACAACCCCATATTATGATGCTTGCGCCACCATGCTTCATTGTCTTCACAGTGTACTGCGGCTTCAATGCAGTGTTTGAGGGTCATCTGACAAACTGTCTCCGGCCACTAAACCCAAGCAAAACAATCTTGCTTTCATCAGTCCACAAAATGTTGCGCCATCTCTCTTTAGGTCAGTCAATGTGTTTTTCGGCAAACTGTAACCTTTTCAGCATGTCGTTTTTTCAACAATGGGACTTTGCGTGGGCCTCTTGCCGATAGCTTGGCTTCACATAGGCGTCTTCTAATTGTTACAGTACTCACAGATAACTTTAGACCTTCTTTGATCACCCTGGAGCTGCTCACTGGTAGTTTTCCATTTTCTTCCACGTCTTTCTGGTTTTGGTTGCCATTTTTAAGCATTTGAGATAATGTTAGCTGAGCAGCCTATCCGTTTATGCACTTCTTTATATGTTTTCCCCCCTCTAATCAACTTTTTAATCAAAGTACGCTGTTGTTCTCAACAATGTCTGGAACGGCCCATTTTACTCTTTCAGAAAGAAATGCACGATATCCAGCATATACAACATTGCTGCCTTCTTCCTTAAGTAAGGGCCACCTCAACCCTTTTGACACCTCTTACCTGGTTTAATTGCTTATGAACGTGCCATCATTGCACCAAACCCTCCACCCACCCCTGGTTTTATACTTCTTGTTATGGTTTTCTTAAGAAATGCTCCTTTTTTCTCCTACTTATTTCTGTGTGGTTGGGTGCTGTATTGTACAGGCTTTTTCAGCATCGATACATATGCAGTATTTTTTTTTTTGCCTTTGTCTGGGTATGACTCTTTATGTAATTCTTCTATGTGATTGTATTTTTCAACACATGCACTCCTTTTATAATGCTGTACAGTGCTGACATCCCATTTCTATTGCCTTGTCTTTTCTCTGTAATTTTATTTCTTTGGAAAATTAATATACTTTGATTATACAAAAAAAAAAAGGGCCACCTCTTTTGACACCTGTTTTTTCACATACTGAATGGCCTCACTAATTGAACTCCACACTGCTATTATTTTGAACGTACCCCTTTCAATTAATGATTCAATTACACAGAATCAGCAGCATGCATGTCAAGACTGTTGCGTCTGTTGGTTTTGTATTACTCTACTATACCTACTAGTAAATTATTTGCCATGTAGAAATACAATTTATACCAACAGTGATTAACCTGGTTAGTGATGTTGGACTGCTATTATTTTGAACACAACTGTAGCTATAATAAAAAAAAACCTCTAATGATTTGGTCAAAATATTCACTTGCCTAATACTTGTGCACACAGTGTACTGGCCATATACTAGCTGACTTCCTAGTATTGTTTTTGATACAAGCATTGCTTGTAATAGTTACCAGGTTTTTTTTTATCACAAATGGAGTTCAGGAGCAACAGAGGTCTGGTACTACTACTACCTACTACTGGCAAACTGTCTGGCTGCTTTTGGATAGCAGTGGGAGAAGGGGGCAAGTTGTCCCTCCACACTGCTCAGCAACAGCAGCAAAGATTGCAATAGGGTCAAGTGCTCCTTGCACTAGGTTCCCTGGGAGGGTTAAAAGTTATTTTCAATTTTGTGATACTTATAACACATTTGAAATATATGTATATTCACTGTTTTACCTGCCATAGGATTTGTAATTTTTTAAGCCAGACATTTGATTCACACATTTATTGCACATTACAAAGGCAGGAAGATCAGTCTGTTATTTCCAGGTTCACCTCCCTGCTAACTGGACTGGGGTGGCAATGGTGATTTATTGCACAAAGATTAGGCTGGAGGTAGGAAGATGATATTGAAGTTGATTTACTAAAACTGGAGAGTGCAAAATCTACAGCAGCTGTGCATGATAGCCAAGCAGCTTCTAACTTCAGCTTGTTCAATTAAGCTTTGACCAAGAAAAAAAACTGGAAGCTGGAGCTGCACCAGATTTTGCACTCTCCAGTTTCAGTTAAGCAACTCCATTGGAGGCTGCTTTAGGGTAGATTTAGAAGTCTGTCTACACCTCCCTTTCCTCTGAAGATCAATCCACATTCAGATCTTGCTTCAGAGGCTAATGACAGGCACCAAGGAAGCGGTGTGACATGTTTTAACCCCAGATTTTGCCAACAAATGCACGCACAACTGCATGCCGATCACTACATGTCAGGTAAACTTTGCATGTAAACACCCCTGTCCGCTGCCTATTGCAGCTTAAGGGTAGCGCTTGGTGGGTAGCAAAAACATAGCTCAACTGTACATTTTTGCTGCCCAACCGCATGGTCAGGGATCGCGGCGGCAAGCGTGTCTGCGCATGCGCAGAACACCGATTCATTCTAGCTGGTGGGCACTAGGACCTGGGCGGCGGCGGCCGCGCATGCGCACTCGCGATCACGGATGCTCGCCTGGAACCAATGACAGGGCAGGGCGCACTATTTAAACCTGCCCTGCAGAGACTCTCACTGCCATAAGGTCTAATCACTCTGTTCCTGCTTCAGTGTACCTTTTATTTGATTGCTGCCGACCCTGCTTGATCCTGACCTTGCTGACTTCTTCTGCTCTGATCCCTGGCTTGCTTTGACTACTCTTTTGGATACCCTTACTTGATCTGAACTCCTGTTACTGAACCCGGCGAGTGACCCGACTACCCTGTGCCTGCTGCCTTGTACCGTGCTGTCCCCACTGTTACCGACCCGGCCTGTCTGACCACGCTTCCTACTCTGCCATCCATCCGTCCTGCACGGACCTATCCGCCTCTTCACGTCACGCTCTTCTCCAGTAGATACCTCTGGCGGATTCCTTTACCACGGGTGGGTGTACTGAGGGGCCGCGACCTGGTCACTGTCTGCTCCAAGTCCATCCCCACCATCAGGGGCCCTGGTGAACAAGCAGACTGGGACTTAGACTCCGCGCTCTGGGGAATCCTATCCTGTGGATCGCTAGAGGTACCGCCAGGCGATGCATGACAGCTAGAACACAAATGTGCCACTTGCCTGACTCTCCAGTCACAAGAATAAACAAAACTTAAATTTTTTTTTAAACAGGTATAACAGTATACATACATGTATTTCAAATGTGTATTCCAATTTTTTATTCAACTTTAATGAATACACAGCTGTATTAAATGGTGGTTTATAATATGAGCCCAGAGTTCAGTTTTAAATCCAGATATGAATAAAACCTGTGAGCCCTTTCAAAGACTGTAACAATAGCGGACGCCCTTTAATGCCAATCCGGCAGTACATAATGTGTTTATAAATATCCCATGTTTGTGTTGTTTTAGATTATACGGCCTTCTGCACACAGAGTGATGTGCACGTGAAATTTACAAAGGCTAAGCTGGACCCTGACATATGAGAACCGCTTGATTTATTTCTGTCCTGATGTAAAATATTAACAAGGCAGAAAAAGAACCTGACAGACAATGGGAAGAATGGATCAGAAAAGGAACTGCGGCAGGTCAGGAACTTGTCACCCTGCACAATTACATGGGGTAGAACACAATCACCATCAGTACAGCCAATGACACTAATAAAAATGGATTTTCCTATTATCTGCACTCACTGCATATGCTCCAATCAGGAATGCTGCGTTGGCTCTTTTCCGCTGATCATAGCTTGTGTAGTGAACTATCTTCTTCCTTGACAGGCTGAACGACTGCAAAGAGATACGGATGTTATCTTTAGGTCAACAAAAATCAGTTTTCCTTTTACTTAGCAATTTTAAATATCATCAAGTATTAACTTAAGCTGGCCAAACACTAGCAGATTTTCAAACAAACATTCATAGGAACATTCTTATGAAAATTCTCAATACATTCAACAGATTGAAGAATGACATTCAAAAGTATTTCAAAATGTTGTTTGCTTTTAACATTTGATTTGAAACAAGCTGAAATTACCAAATGAAAGCTACATAAACTTAGAAGTTTGTTCGATCGAGAAAAAAATTTACATCCCACTCCTTTAACATTTCTCACTGCGGTCAAAAAAGATTGCCGATTTTACCTTACTAATGATTAGAATGACGAATGAATGTTCTTGAAACAAAAAAATTCTACCAAATTTCTACTAGTGTATAGCTAGCAATAGACAGAATTATATTTATAGCATTTCATTAATAAAAAAGCTATACAATAAAAAATATAATATCACCTGGCTAAGGAGAGATCAGCATTACAGTGTTTACTTTCACATGAATAAGGCTGGATTTCTGCATGCCAACGCAGCCCATGGCCTAGGGTGACAAGGCATCCAGGGGTGACTAACAGCTAAGAAGGTATAATCTTACATTACAAAAAATACATTAAACTGCACAAGAAGAAGCACCTGCACCTTTTCAAATATAGCACTGCACCATGCTGCATTGATGTGAATAGGCCTTATAGTAAATCATATTATTTCCAATGTTATGCATTGCAGTATGACGGAAGACACAGAAGTTGTACTAGTGTGAATGTGGCCTTAAAGTAGAACTACATTCACCACCACCCCAGTGATCCGATGTCCATGAGCTCCCTTGCCAGCAGCTGACATCTTCAGTAAGTCTTCATTCAGGTTCAGATCTTGATTGACTGGGCCAGGATGAATTAACTAGTTTAATTGTCTCGGCTCATGCCAAAACTGTACACTAAGCTTCAGCTTGCAGGGATTAAATGTGTATTGAGTGTAGTGGTGCAGGTGTAATAGTTACCTATAGCTGGCTCCGACAGGCTTCCTCTATGGTCTATCATTGCTGCCTCTCTAATGCTAGGTATACACGAGGAGTTCGTTTTTTTCGTTTAACCCAGCAGCAGGGGCGGACTGACCATTTGGAAACTCGGCACTGCCCGAGGACCCGGAGTCAGTAGGGGGCCCCCTGAGATGTTCCTGGTACCTTTTTCATAGGCTTTTTTGAGTTTGGGCAAGGAAACAGGGGCCCCATGATCCTCTATTGCCCGGGGGCCCCATGAGTTGTCAGTCCGCCCCTGCCCAGCGGGCTGAACAAAAAAAACAGAGAGGTCGCTGCAATAACTGATCTCTCTGCTGTGCTATTGTGTTCTGACAGGGAGATTGCCCTCCTGCCAGAACATACTGATCAGCGCTCACAGCCACTGGCTGCAAGCCCTGGTCAGATGCGGGTTTTCCAGCATGCCCTTTCGATAAAAGCCAGTCATTAGACAGGCTTCTGTCGGATAGGATACTGTACACATGGGCAGAATGGTTCAACAGAAACCGGCCGATACCGGCCAATATTAGCCCATGTGTACCAGCCTTATGGCTCTTTTAGCCACAGTTGCATGCTCACCTCCTTAATAACCCTGTACTATATGTGATGATGCCAAGAGATCACCCACATTCTGGAGCTTTGGGCAGAAATGAACAGCACTGGAGCCTGCCGGAACACACGTTAATGTGAGAAATACACCTTATCACTGCTCCCCTCCCCCTCCTCTCGGGCGGCCGCCCCAAAAGTCAGGACTCTGCAGCTAGCCCAGCAATGGGTAAACTACAGCCCGGCGGACTTTTTAATCCGGCCCGCAGAGCATGGCAAACATTGGCTGTCAGGATGTAGGCGGGGCAGCGTGACGAACTCCTCTCCTCTCACAGTCCGCCCTGAAGACCGGAACGGCGCGGGAACACTGCGAGAGGAACGCGCGGAACAATATGGGGCAATTACTATAGGGGGATTTACTATATGGGGGATGAATTACTATGGGGGATGAATTACTATATGGGGGATGAATTACTATGGGGGATGTACTATGGGGGATGAATTACTATGGGGGATGAATTACTATATGGGGGATGAATTACTATGGGGGATGAATTACGGATACGGGGGATGAATTACTATGGGGGATGAATTACTATATGGGGGATGAATTACTAGGGGGGATGAATTACTATGGGGGATGAATTACTATGGGGGATGAATTACTATATGGGGGATGAATTACTATGGGGATGAATTACTATAGGGGGATGAATTACTATGGGGGATGAATTACTATATGGGGGATGAATTTACTATGGGGGATGAATTACTATATGGGGGATTAATTACTATGGGGGATGAATTACTATATGGGGGATGAATTACTATATGGGGGATGAATTACTATGGGGGATGAATTACTATAGGGGGGATTAATTACTATGGGGGATGAATTACTATATGGGGGATGAATTACTATATGGGGGATTAATTACTATGGGGGATGAATTACTATATGGGGGATGAATTACTATATGGGGGATGAATTACTATATGGGGGATGAATTACTATATGGGGGATGAATTACTATATGGGGGATGAATTACTATGGGGGGATGAATTACTATATGGGGGATGTATTTTCAGTTTTAAAAATGTGGCTCTCAAAATAAATTTCAATCGTGGTTTTGGCGAGATTTGGCTCAGTTGAAAAAAAAAGGTTGCCCATCACTGACCTAGACTAAACGAGCATCTGACCTTTGCAGTGCAGGGAGGCCCCAACGCAAGGGTAAATTGTGTCCAATTCCTGAAATTCAATTTTAAACACTTAATTTGCTCAGACTGGCACAGATTTTGTTTTTGTTGTTTATGGTAATGTCCAACAGATGTCACATCTATTTTTACTATGCATGCTTTAGTTTTGTATGTATTCATACACATCCTCAACTCAAAACCAATTTCAATGTTACAGGGAACATCTAGAAATGTACAAGCCAATGTTTACCTAAAACAGAAAAAAAAAAAAAAATCAGCACAAGGGACATGACTTACTGTCAGTGAGATATGTCCTTAGTGCTGCTGTGTCCTCCTTTCACCAAAATCTTTCTCCTCCAATGCTCCCCCACCCCCGCTGCTGTAATCTTCCGGTGTGGCAGAGGTTAATAGCACTAATAGGCTCTCATCAAGAACTATGAATGAAACAAGATCTATGAATGGAGGACAGGTGGATGATTGATAGATCCATCCCCTCCATTCATAGATCATGTTTCACCCATAAAAGCTGTAGTATAACTACTATGAATGAAGGAGTTGGGAGGAAATGGTGGGCATTATCAGGCACGCTTGATGAGCACCTGTCACAGCCCATTGGTTCTATTAACCCCCACTGCACTGGAAGATTACGGTGGAAGGGGTGGGGGGGTGCATCAGAGGGGAAAGATTTTGGAGAAAAGAGGATACAGGAGCACAAAGGACACATTTTACTGAAGGGCAAAGCAATGGAGGGAAGAAATTTATCAAAACTGGAGAAGACTGAATCTGAAGCAGCTGTGAATAGTAACCAATCAGCTCCTATCTTCAACCTATTCAGTTAAGCTGAGAAATTGAAAGATTGAAGCTTATTGGTTGCCATGCACAATGGCACCAGATTCTGACTACTCCAGTTTGATTAATTCTCCTCAGTGAGTTTACATTTATGTATCTTCTGTGTCTGCTTAATCTTGCATTCAATTTTATCTCCTTCTGCCTAGTTTGCCTTGTTTCAGCTCCAGAAAGTTCACATAATTTACCTTATCCTCTGTGTTCTGTGTAATCTACTGCAAAGTAATGACATAAACCTCTGCAGAGGTGCCCATGTCCCTGCATGTCCCTTGTGCTGATTTTTTATTTTCTTTGTTTTAGCTAAACTCTGTATATTCAATTCATACTATTGCGCTGCCTTTGAAGATATTTTAACAGTGGAGGTTTTATAACTGCTTGAGAATCATTCTTCATTCTACATGCCTTCCCCACAAAACAGCAATTTTCCTGTCAAAACACCATTCTTTTGGGAATGATGCTAAAAAACGCTCAATTGCCTGTTAAAATGATAAACATACCTATCAAAAAGCTAGGACTTTAGTGTAAAAAAAAACTTTTCTGTAGTGTCTAATGGCAGAGTTGTTTAAGTTAAAGTGGAACTCCAGAAATAAACCTTTATGCAAATTTATATTGGTCCAGATTGGCTCAATGTACCCAAGTATCAATATCTAATATCGGGAGGGTAGCTGGGGATGCTGATTCACTGTAGTAATCCATGCTACATACAAAAATAGCTGTGCTGCTCTGCACATTGTCCAGTGGCTTCGCCTCTGTATACTAAACACAGAGGGTTGCTTGCTTGGTACCACCGCCATTCAGAGAAAACAATGTACCGTATTTCTTTCACAGAATACAATGTATTCCCTGATTGGAAAAGGAGGTGATTGTGATGTCACACCCCGCCCCTCCTCTCCACTCAGTCCTATCAAAGAATGCCTTATATTTATAGGAAAAAATACAAGCCGGTCTCTGATGTGGGTGGTGCCAAGCGAGAAACTCCCAAGTGTTCAGTGCTCAGAGGGGTAGCTGTTGTAGTACCACTTTGAAGATGACAGCTATCACTGTTTGTACTGAACATTACTACAGTGAGTGTCAGCATCCTCAGCCTCCCCTCCCTGGTATCAGATTATGGATACTTACATCACACCAAGCTGGCCCAATGTAAGTTTGAAGAACACCTAACGTGGTTCTTTAGTTAGCAGCTACAAATACTGTAGTTACTGACTTAAAAAAAAATACACTTCCCTGCCCAAGAATCCAGCGTCATCCTCATCCAGGCCAGTTTTCTGCCAGTCTTCAAGTCCCCGATGCTGGCATGTTTACTGTGGGAAGCCAGCTGTGACTCCTTGTGGCTTCACAGCCAGCTTGCCACTGCACAAGC